CCACCACCACACACACCGGCTAATGGTTGTGTAACAACTTTTGTGAGGTGCCTAGCCTAGAATTGTCATTCAATTCGTGTTAAGAAGGCCAGCTGGTGACAGCAGTTGCAGCAGCTGGGCAGGGGGTGATATGTTTTGGGAACCCTGGAACAGGTTCAGGCCTCCTGGCAGGAAAGATCTTGCAAATGGTTCTGGGGTGAACCGATTGCAGGGGACAGGACTAGGGGCCTGGCGACCACGGAGGAGCCTGGGTCGTGCTCCACGCAGAAGAGACAGCCACAAGGGGGACCAGAGGCCAGGGCCGGATTGGAGGAACTGAGCAACCTTGGCATGCACCCTACAGCTCTACAAATACCACAAGCATTCCAGATCTCCACAAATAAGGACTGCCTTCTCTTCGCCCTCCCCTGGCTCCCCAACCGCAGCTGAGGAAGGGGAAGTGCATGCGCCTGGCTCCTCTCCACCCCACCTTTGGGTTCTGTGTTCCAACACTCCAGTTTTCCATGTGGGGAAACTGAGACAGAAAGAGATTGGGGACAGGTCTTCTCCTGAGCGGGACTGAGCTGGCACTTGGGGGCACCAGGTGATGAAAACCCCAGCTGTGAATGTCCAGCCCAGGGAGGAAGGTGGGGCAGCTAAGAAAGACACTGGGTGGGGGGTAGAATCACCTGAAGACACTTTAAAATGCACAAGTGCTGGGGCATGGGGGGAAGGAAGGGTCAGCATTTGTTAGTCTTCCCAGGCAATGCTACCATGCAACTCACAAATGTAGGGAACCTGAGGCCCAGCCATGCACACAGTCCCTCGGCCCCCACACTCACCTGCCTCAATTTCCCCACTCTGCCATAGCCCCTCACTCCCATGAATGTTCCCAGGGCAGAAAGGTGGGAAAACCAGCCCCACACAAAGAACATTGTTTTCAGGCACTTCTCATCGACCCCTTTCCTTGTCCCTCCCTCACCACCCAAAAATGAAGGATCTCCAACAAGAGAGAAGCTGAGTTTATTACAATGACTGCAGTCTTGCCACCTGAAGACCGCCCCCCCCCCAAGTCTTCCCCTTCAGGGCCCAGACAAAGGAGGGTCCTTGTTGTAAGCAACACCCCTCAGAGCCCAGGACCAGGCTACACAATACCGCCCACCTCCCTCCACAGGGCTTCCCTCCTCCCCCACCAGAGAGGACAGGTGACCGGGTAGGCAATGCTAGACCAGTGTGGGCCTCAGGCCTCAGTTGTCCCCTTCCACAGCCCAGCTGGTGGGGAGAGGAAGTGAGCTGGCCCAGCCAGACTGGAGGTCCTGGAATGGGGCTGAGGACAGAGGCCTTCAGGCCCTGGGTGAGGTGGGCACTCAGGCACAGGCAGCCTCGGGCCCCTGTCCACACTCTGGGGGGCCCTCAGCCTTGCTGGCCAAACTGTAGTAGTAGGTCCGCATGCGCTGCTCCACCGTCAGGAAGTCAGGACGATCCTCCCACCTGTGGGGGATGGGCAGAGCTAGGCCACTGATCACATGGCCAGAATCCAACTTCCGCTGGAGGTGGACAGCAGGGGACTCAGAAATCGTGGGGCTTTGGGGCAGTACTGGATATCGGGGCGGCCTCTCAGGTGTGAGATCTGGAATTCAGGGGTCTGAAAGAAGAGCTGCTGACAGACCAGAAGTCGGGTGTTAACTAGCAAAGACTGTGTTGGGCTGACACTACTTACTGTGGGGAGCTGGGCAACTGCATGCTGAAGCACTAGCACAGGATGTGCCCAGGGCCAGGTGCGGGCTCATGTGGATGCAGGTGTGCTGAGGGTGGTGGGGCTAGTGGAGAGTGGGGCACTAATGGTACTCTGTGCGGAATACCCATGTATCGTGTTGGGGTGTCAAGTGCTAGCCTCTCTGGATGTTGGCGTGCTGGTATACTGATGGCAGGTGAAGGCATACTGGTGTAGGGAAGGCTGATCATTCATTATTTATTTATCCTACGTATTGGATTGCTTGGGTGTCTGGGTATTAATGTCTTCAGTGCTGGCCAGGGAAGGACAGGTATCAAAAGTAGGATGTGTGTACTGCACAACCAGTGTGGGGTGACAGTTCATTTGGGTGCATGCTGCCTGCTAGCTGATGGGAAGGAGGGATATTGATGGTGTTAGGAGTCAGGGGTATGTTCAAGCATTGGGCTTCAAACAGAGATGTGGTTCTGAATATACTGAGTGTTTATGTGCTTTCGTGTTGGCCTGTGTGGGTACCTGTGGGGACTGAAGAATTCCATACTGGAGTAATATCCCATGTCTGAGTATGGGTACCCTATTTTGGTAGAGTGCTAACTTGGTTGAGTAATGCAGGATTGATGTGTGGAGTGTTGGCTGGTGGGGGGACGGAGGTTGTAGATGCTGGAGCACTGGGTGTCCACAGGTAGGGTGCTGGCCCATTGAAGCAATGTAGTGTCAGTGTGTTGGAGAGCTGAGCATAGAAGTGGGGGCTAACGGTGCTGAGTGCTGGAAAGGCCATGAACTGGTGAGCATCTTTGGGTGGAATGACACCAGGGAGTTTTGTTGGACTGACGGATTGGACATTGAGACCTGTCCCAGGCCCAGGTGTCAGTACGGCCAGGTCCCCACCCGCCCACTGGCACTCACTTGTAGATCCAGCAGTCGCTCATGAGTGCATACATTTCAGACGGACACTCGGGTGGGCACTCCATCCGCTTGCCCTGCTCGAGGAAGGCCATGACCTCGGGGCCCTTCATCTTCTGCTCAAGCCAGAGCCAAGTGCACACGTAAATAACCAAGGCTCTCGCACCTCCCCCCAGCGACAACCAACTCGCCCACCCACACACGCGCACGCCTGCCTTGTAGGGCTTCTGGCCATAGGAGAAGGCCTCCCACATGGTGACCCCGAAGCTCCAGACGTCGCTGCGGCTGGAGAACTTGCGGAAGTTGATGCACTCGGGTGCGTACCACTTGAGTGGCCACTTCCCTGCCGAGCGGGCCTGGGGGAGGGAGACGCAGCTGAGTCAGGGCATGGATCCCCCACCCCCACCCACCTGGGCAGAAAGGGGCAAGGCTCACGGTGTAGTAGCTGTCGTCGGCGCCCAGGGCCTTGGAGAGGCCAAAGTCACTGATTTTGGCGTAATGCCGGTTGACCAATAGGACGTTGCGGGCTGCCAGGTCTCGGTGCACAAAGTTCTTCTCCTCCAGGTACTTCATCCCCATGGACACCTGGTGCAGCAGCTCTGCCACATTACTTACGGGGATCTCCTCCCTGGGTACAGGGGAAGGAAGGGTAAGCCCATGTTCCCAAGGGGGCCAAGCCCACATCTCTGATCCAACTGGGTGGGTGTTCATGCATATTAAGCATCTGCTATGTGCCAGGCATGGGGCTGGGGACAAAGCCTCCACCCTCATGCAGTCTGAGGCTCATATTTCACCCACATGCTGATGCCCAAACTCATGCATTTTGCTGAATCCTCCATGAGCCCTCCAGGGTGTCACGGCATCTCAAAGACAGTAAGGACAAAGCTAAGCTCCGATTGTTCTCTCTCATTCTCTCATTCTCTCTCTCTCTCTCTCTCTCTCTCTCTCTCTCTCTCTCT